CGTTGACCTGCAACGACGATCGGCCAATTTCGCTGTATCTGTCGTCTCGTCGTCTCGAAATCCGCAGCACACCTACTGCTTGTCGCTTCCTCGCACCAAACCGTCTACTCAGCCTCACCGTCCACGGCATCACTTGTCGTCTGGCGGTCGGTGGGAGGGGTCGACCAAAAAACCGAGCCTTTTAGTCGAGATTATGCCAGCAAATCGAGTCCAGGCCGTGGAGCGCCAGGCGACTGACTGGCCGGAAACTGCCGCCTCCAAGGCAGCACCTTCAGCAGAGATGGAGAAAGGCAAAGCAGACGAATGGTGCTCAGGGATGGTATGTGCTCAACGGCCTGTCACTGCCAGGTGGAGCATGGGACAAAGTCGGTCGACTACCAAGTGCCGATAAGACGCAAAGGTAGATAGGCCTGCATCCCAACCATCAAAGAGGATACCAAGCTCCAAATGAGACTCACCGGCGGCAGCTCATAAAAAAGATGGAATTCGCTCTCTTGTGCTTCGGATTGACGCCCCAGCCTCCGAAAATTGAGTATTTTACCCTCTCTTCCCCTTGACTAATGTTTGTGTTTACACACTTTCTCCACTAGCACAATAGCTATTGTCAAGCAAACTCGGGTCGACCAGAGAGAATAGAAAATCTTCGTGTAGAATAAGCTCTAATTCAGAATGCATTTTTACATTTTATGGATGTAGCAATGACTATTCATTGCCGATGCCGTCACATTTTTTGTGGGCCTTCAAGTTTGGTGCAGTGAAGGGTAGTAAAAGTTGGAAAGATGCTATTTCCTCTTGTGTAGGACGTTATTTGTAGAGCGAGTAGAAGCAAATGATGAGATTGCCTTATTGTTTATAATTCAAAGACATTTTATACTAAATGCCAAGAAGCACCGTTTTTATACCTATTTTTAAGTAGATTTTACCAAAGATTTGACCCTCCGAGTACTATTTTCCGTCCAGTGGACGCCAAAAGAGGGTTTTTACTATTTTTATTATTCCCTCACTTTACACCTCCCGAACCGATTGTCTCTTTTTTACCATCTTATTTTGTCAGAGCTCATAAGAATCTTATTTTTTATTCTCCCCTCCCTTTGAGAGACAAGTTGTATTGAAGTGAAATTTTATTGTGAACCCAGGATACAATACACAAGATTTCAAAAGAGTAGAATGGGAGCGACCTCGTTCCTAGTTGGATTAGCTCTTCCTAGCATCTCTGGAAACGGTACTCAACATACAACCCCCTCATCGCACTCATACTTTTACTTCAACTGCCGTTTAGAACCAACCGAATGACTGTTTTGCTCCAAAAACTTATGTATAAAGACATAGATATAAAAAATACTACTACTACTTTGGCTAACATTTGCTAAAATGTTTTGCACTCACTTTATGCTTGGATTCCCTGAATATGAAGTTAAGCAATCTTAAATAAACGATCCTTTACAAAGCACATACAAAATGGCGGGGGCACCCAGAC